AACATGCTCGAACTTGTTCCTTAACATCTGGATAATCTTGGTTTAAATAAGCAATTTGACAGTTCCGTCGGAAGTGTCAAAATATTCTGGGTTTCTTCACCATTTCAGCGCTCATATAAAGCATGACGTTTTCTCAGTTTGTTATGAAACAGAACACAAATGTTGAACGGGGACATTTCCAGAGCACATCAAACTATTACATTTAGCCAAATTATGGTGCACGTGTTCACAAAATGGTCCACAGGAAATAAATAAATACATACTAATCCAATAACAGTGCAAAAGAGCAAATAGACCATTCCAAAATCGTATTAAATTATAGCATCACCATAATAATAAAATGTATAATAATAATAATAATAATAATAATAATAATAATAATAATAATAATAATAATAATAATAATAATAATAATAGTGGTAGTGTAATAATAAAATAATAATAAAAACAAAAATAAAAATAATAAAAACAACAACAGCAATAATAATAATAATATTAATAGTGTAATAATAGTAGTGTAATAATAACAATAATAATAATAATAATAATAACTCATGTTCTACTTATACGGATGAGACCTGCGTTTGAGGTCTTAAACATAACTCGCGTAAAAAGAAGTACATAATAAAAATAAAATGAGTTTTAAAATATAGACATAAAATTAATAACCCACGGGTCTTAATACACCCAACATGCTCTGAGCTGGGATCGAACCGGCGATTCTTTGTATAGGAATCGGTTGCTCAAACAAGGACATAGATATATAAATTAGATGTCGCCTACCCTGTTGTTGTCTATTGGAAGGAATGCGTCAATAGAGCTGCCATTTTAGTACAGGGTAGCGCTCCTTTAAAATAAATGTGGGACCAAGGTGCATTGGAAGACTGTGACCATCCAGAGCCAGAGAATTACATATATACACAAATATCTATGATCGGGAGTTTTCCCGGAGGTCAGTATGCAATTATTTTTTTTTTTCAATTATGAAACTTAAAGGGCCCTATGATACACCCGCCGCAATGTGGCGCAAGGCGTGGCGCAATACTTGTTTGCTAGTTTCAGCTTGGCGCAAGAGTCGTTTTGAGGCGTTGCGCCACGCTCTTTAAATAGCAAATGCATTTGCGCTCATATGTGCGCCCATAGGCATTCTGGTCTAAAAAAGCAGGCGTGTTTTGGCGCTTTGCTATTTTGAGAAACTGTAATAGTCTTTTCTTTAGACCAGAACAAACCCGGCTTACACACTGCCTAATACACACAAGATGTAGAGCAATACGCAAATATCTTTACATATGAAAAAATGTAAATATTAAGGATATATAGGATATAATAAGGATATATATATATATATATATATATATATATATATATATATATAAAGAATTCAAATATTACAAAACATATTATTTTCTAGCCTACATGAATTTAAAAACCACTGCCTTGAATTCTTCATCTCGGGAGGCTTTTTCAGTTCATTCAATTTGCTTTTGTATAATGTTATTATTATTAGCAGTATTATTTATAATATCCATATTTATTATTGTTTTATTAAAAACAAGCTTAGATTTATCCACCTGTCAGGTTTTAGAACATATGGGGCATAGCAGGTGTATTTGGAAATAACTCAGTATTTTGACCTCACTTCGTTATTATTGTTCATTTATTCGTTTGCTGGAAATTAAACTGAATTTATAAATAGTTTTGAAACAAATCTTTGCACTTAACAAACTAAATTAATTATTTATAGGCTTATTGATGTCTCTGCGTAAAGATTTCTTTATTCACAAGAGCAAAAGCAAAAGTTAACTTTGCGTCATGTAAATAGCAAATGCGCTTATGGCGCAACGCAAGGCTCTTAAAGGGAATGGGAGATGAGACTACGATTGGTTTATTTTCAAAACACAGCTATAACTCATTAAGAAAATAAACTCAACCCTTTTAGATCATGCGCCACGGCGCAAAGCGGATTTTCCCATCCCTAAACTAGAAAATGTGGATTATGACACACCCTGAATGCGTTTGCGCCCTGCGCTTGCCGTTTTGCGATGGACCGTCAAAATAGAGCCCATAATTTTACATCACTTTTTCTATATTGATGGATATAATCAAATAGGCATTCCTGACAAAAAGCTTGTGTTTGTGTGTATAATGTACTATCCACCCTCCTTGTTAAACTGATCCATGTCCTGAAACACACCCCTCTCCTGCTTTCACTTCTCATACTGATGGAGGGAGCGACTCGTTTGTGAATGAATCTCTGTTGAGTGACTCCTTCACTAGCCGACAATAATACTAATAATAATACTACAATAATAATAAAGTTTCTGGCACCGCAGCATCTCGCTGTCATATTTAGTTTGCATTGTTTGCTGATTTTATTCAACAGCATATAGCATATAGCACATAGCATAAGCCCAGTGTTTAGTGCGAGTTGGTACTACTTGCCTTATGGTGAATGCAGTAAGTGACTGATTATAATAATGTTACCTGTTTAGCACAAAAGTTCGTAACATACAAAAACATAAAAAACTAAACCTTACCTATGAAATGTTCTGCCTTTGTGATTGTTTTCTCTGTTTGCTCGTTACTACACCCGTAGACAGCGCTAAAGTTCAGCATCTTCACGTAGTAACACTATCTTGACTAGTGCGGGTGAATGACACATGTTCTGGGAGCACTTTACAAATATGCAGCCACTATTGACGCATGCTCAGGGTCCTCATGCGATATCTAGTGTATATATCTATGTAACAAGGAGGCTAAAGACTAGCACCTTTTGAGGTCAGAGAAGTGAGGTTTACCTGCATAGCACTTTGCTAGCTGGCCTCTGTTATACTCACCCCCTAAACCTTACTCCCATCCCGGACGAGCCCCGACGTGTAACCCACTGGTCCTACTGCACCCAACCTGCTCTAAGCTGGGATTGAACCGGCGATTCTTTGTATGGAAGTGGGTTGGTCTAACAAGGAGGCTAAAGACCATGGCCTCTAGTGTCTGTTGCTAGAGCACCTTTTGAGGTCAGAGAGAGGTTTACCTGCATAGCACTTCACTAGCTGGCCATATAATTTTTTAACTACATTATTAAAATGTACATAAATAAATAAATAAATGAATGAATGAATGAATGAATGAATGAATGAATGAATGAATGAATGAATGAATGAATGAATGAATGAATGAATGAATGAATAAATAAATAAGTAAATAAATAAAATGGCAAATGATTAAAAAAACAATAGTCATTCAATTATACTGTTCATCTTCATTTTTATTGTGATTTTACAATGCAGCTTGTGTCAAGCAGCAATATAATTATAGTCTCATAAACTCTATTTAAGACTGTATTTCTGCAAATATTAATCACAAATATTATTCCCTTAATTGTGTGTAACATGTTGCCTCGATCTAAATGAAACCCAATAAACATATATTATTAAAGATGCAAACCTCTGTTATACAACCGCATTAATACACTTTTCAGAAATGTAGTGATATTCCTTATAAGTATGAAATCTAGATTTGAAATTAAGAAAAGCTGTTTAAATAAACAAATTATATATAAACTTATTTTATATAAACAAATTTTATATATTTGTTTACCAATGAAATAGAAACAGATCACAGCATGATCATACACAAGCAAAAAAAAACTAATATGAGCATGAAATACACATTAAATCCCATCTGACATGCAAGAAAGAAAAAAAACCTAAAAAGCTATCTATTTTCTAAGCATCAAATACAAAAAATTGTAGATATTGCAAAAGCTATAAACCTTTTTTGTTTCACAAAGTTGACCCTAGTCAGAAATAAAAACTGAATTTACTGGGTGTGTAATGTGTATATAAAATACTTTATACACAGAAAGTAGTCCCTAAGACAACAAAGATGCTTAAAACATCTTAGTAAGTTATACATTTGTTTTAAAATGCATAAAACTAATTTAAATAAACAGCATATTTTTCACCACACATCAATTAACACAATAAAACACTGATATGAGCATGAACTACACATTAAAACCCATCTGTGAGGACATAACTGACAACAAACATGCAAGAAAGAAATAAAAATAGAAAAGCTAGCTATTTTCTAAGCATTTATTAGAAATACATTTATTAAAGCAGATGATGTTAAAGCTATAAACCTCTTCTCCACCACAAATTTAACATTATTCAGAAATAAAAGCTGGATTCACTGGGTGTGTAATGTGTATTTAAAGGTATTTATTTATCTACAGAAAGTAGTCCCTAAGACAACAAATATATGCTTGAAAGTTGTTAAAATTTGTTTCATAAAATGTATAAAACTCATTTAAATAAACAAGATAAACATGTTTTAGTTGTACAACATGTCCATTAACACACTAAAACACTAATATGAGCATGAAATACACATTAAAACCCATCTGTGAGGACATAACTGACAAGAAACTTGCAAGAAAACTAGCTATTTTCTAAGCATTTAATTCAAAGAAATGTATTAAAGCAGATATTGCAAAAACTGTACACCTTTTTTTAACCAAAAAGTTAACACTTTTCAGAAATAAAAGCTGATTCACTGACTGTGCAATGTGTATGGTACTTATTAATAAACAGATAGTAGTGCTTAAGACAACACACATAAAGGCTTTAAACATGTTATTAAGTTAAAATTAGTTTTACAATATGAATAAAACTCATTCAAATAAACAGCAGATACATTTGTTTCACAATGTGACTATTAACACACCAAAGCACTAATATGAGCATTTTTATATATGAAATTGCTCACAAAAAAACTTGCAAAACAGACAAAAACAAAACTAAATCAGCACTTTTCAAAGCACTGTAGAAAATGATTTCGCATAAGACACGTTGTTTACTGTGCCTCTGAAGGCTTTCTGTCATGCACGTGTGAGGTCACAGCTCACACTACTACAGTAGCTACAGTAGTAATTCCCTGCCGGGCTGCTTTTATATCAAGCTCAGACAAACCCATCAAACAGAAGCCTAAATACTCACAGGAATCTGCTTCATTCTAGTCCGCTCGTCCTCAGAAATACAGACAAACCCTTCCTTTTCTGCTCTGTCTAATCCCACAGGCTTGAGAAAGAGAAGAAAATCCAGAGAAACGTCCACCACAGCAGACCCGGTACTAACAGAGCGAGAGAGGCGACTGGGGAGACATATGTTGCCAAAGCCTCTCGCCTGGCAAAGAAGCTCATTAAACGAGTGACAATCACTCCCACAAAGCCAGATCTGAGCGCTTTTCACATGGAGTGTACAAAGAAGGAGAGATGCGGGGAGAGAGAGAGAGAGAGAGAGAGAGAGAGAGAGAGAGAGTGGGAGAGGGAAAGAGAGGGAGAGAGAATGAGTGAATGAAACTGAAGGAATTCTGGATGGAACAAGTTGCATTCGAAGCATGGGGAGACTTGTCCACGTTTTGTGCCATAGATGTCAAGATCCATGCTTTGTCTTTTGTTACACTGTCACTTTAGTTAAATAGGGTTAATATGGGGCTTATTTGAGTCTAGTGGCTATTACAGTGTAGTATATTATAGAAAACCTGCAATGCGTGTCTTTCAGGCAGCTATATTGTATGAGAATGAAATCATTTGCCATTTTTAACTTAGTTTTTACATGTTCAGATGACATTGTGTGCAGTTCTCTGTGAAGGAAAAAAGCTGTGATGATAAGGGTGACTACAAGGGCGTTGCTATGCAGTTGCTAGGATGTACAATGTGGTTTTGAGCATGTTGCTATGAAGTTGCTAGGCTATAAAAAAAAGATAACCAAAATAACCTGTCCACAATTCGATGATATGATCTACCTGCATCACTGAATGACATTTTTTTGCATCTGTCATGCAAATAGTAGAACATTTCTATATGGTAAAACAACAACATCAATAAAAAAAAAAAAAAAAAAAAAAGCTGAATGGGTTAACCAAAACGAATTACCAATTATAGCATGCATCCTCATTATTGATAATAATAATAATAATAATAATGATTTAATAATTTGTTATTATTATTATTATTATTATTATTATTATTATTATTATTATTATTATTATTATTATTATAGTTACTTTAATTATTATTAATTACATATATATTTTTAAAAAAAATTAAATTATAGCTAAAACTTGTAAACCATTATTGTTTTATAATAATAATAATATTAATCAGAATATTATTATTATTATTATTATTATTATTATTATTATTATTATTATTATTATTATTATTATTATTATTATTATTATTGTTATTACTATTAATTCATAATACTATTAATACTACTCATATAATAATAATAATAATAAGAATAATAATAATAATAAGAATAATAATAATAATTATTATTATTATTATTATTAGTATTATTATTATTATTATTATTATTATTATTATTATTATTATTATTATTATTACCATAATATTATGGTTATTATTATTAGTAGTATTGTTATTAATAATAATAATATTATTATTATAAAAAACAATAATTGTTTACTAGTTTTAGCTATAATTTTATTTTCTAATTAAAATAGATATTTAATTAATAATAATTAAAATAAATAATAATAATAATAATAATAATAATAATAATAATAATAATAATAATAATAATAATAATAATAATAGTAATAATAATAATAATAATAATAATAATAATAACAATAATAATAATAATAATAACATCACATTATTTTTATTATTGTTGTTGTTGTTTTTGTTATTATTTTTTTATTATTAATATTGTTGTTGTTGTTGTTGTTGTTGTTGTTGTTGTTGTTGTTGTTGTTGTTGTTATAATTTTTTTTTCAACATACATTTTTAGCTTTAACAACTTTCAATTCAGTGGTTGCTATCTGAGAATAATATACCTTAGAATATTGAGTATTCCACACAGCCGTATATACCAAATCATGGTATCTAGGTTACAAATTCATAGTATTTTGTGATATAAAGGCTACAAAGAACTTTTATTCTTGGCAAGATCATTTGAAGTTTTCCAAAATCTAAAGTAAATATCTTGCATGGTTGTATGGTGTAGCAAAGTATGTTGGAGTTTAGTAGGAGATAAGTTTAAAAAAAAATAATAATAAAATGTCAGCATGGACCTGGAAAAAGAAAAGATGATAACCTTTAATTGACATCAGCCAGTGGGCAAGCAACAGTTCATATGGACCTCACAAATAGGGGTAGATCCCTAGGGACCACATGATTTGCCGACAGAGCAAATAGCACAGAACAGGACATGGTCACACTCTCTAAATACAAACGCCCCACCCCTATCCCACAATGCCGTGGCTGGAAGAATATGATGTTGAAGTGGATGAATGGGTGCGGGGAGAGGCTGAAATCAGAAAGGCTTGACATGTTTGCTTCAATTACGCTGATGTAGGTGCTGCTGACGTGTCTGTCAAATGGAAGAGTGCGCGTATAGGTAAAGGAATAATTAGTCTTTCGGGTTTCCAGGAAATGATACTCTTCATATGTCAGAAGCCTGCCGCGTGAGGTGAGATCATACAATGCACCATCAATTACAAGAAACATCATTAAACGTACAGGCACCATAAACACCCCTAATTAAAATTCTATTAAAATGGATACGTTCACGTGTCCGCTGTTTGAAAGTACCATTAATTTCATTATCTGCGACTCATAGTCATTACAGGGCAAGGGTTTGTTTGAAGAGCATGACGGACTTCCGCTTGTTCGTGTTAAACTCTTGCTCAGCATCTGACAGATATTTTGATCTGCTTCCAGTCAAGATAATTATTCACTTAAGTGTGGTTTCATTGAGCCAAAATCATTTCCCCCTTCCTGTTTAACATGCTCAGAATGTTAACTGCCTATCTGAGGAATGACCATTCGAGTGAGATTGTGAAATATATAGAGTCAAGCCATATATTATTCATACCCCTGGCAAATTCTGACTCAAGTTTTTGTTCAAATGTAAATAAAAACTGTCTCTTGTACTTCAGGACCATCTTAATGTAATTATTAGCCCCTTTCACACATACAGACCTTTCCGGAAAATTACCGGCAATTTTCCGGAAAGGTTGTATGTGTGAACAGGTCCTTTTTGAAAATACCGGTAAATTCGTTCTGGCTATTTTCCGGAAAGAGAAGTTGTAACATTACCGGCAATTTGCCGGAATGCTGCGCTTTGTGAACGCAGAAGGAAGATTTCCGGAATAAGCGCGTGCACGTCTAGAACGTGCTGACGTAAGACTTCTGCTTTAGCCAATCACAACAGTCAGATGCATTTACGTCCGCGCGGTTTGTGAGAATAAAAGCCTTTGAATATTTTTCCAGACATATTTAGCTGCTAGAAGTTAGTCAGATCACGTTTATATGTTCTTCTTAATGCCAACTGTGTAAATAATCATCGATGAGATGCTTATGATAAGCCGTTGTTTGTTTACCTTCAAGCTTTGCGTGTGCCCATGAAACAGCCTGTGAGCGCCTGCACACGCACATATTATGAACATCTCGACATGCGAAAGTAATCCTGCGAAAGTTGTTCACAATATTGATCATCCACAGAGTTTGTAATTTAGTCAAATGTTTACAAATACAGGTGCAGCCGTTTAAAGCTCATTTGTGGTGAATGATGTCAGAATTTACCAGTATTTTGGAATGGATGTGTGAATGCTCTTTTCCGGAAAAATTCCGTAACGTCCTCGCCTGTGTGAACAGCGCTTTTTTCAATATACCGGTAAAGTCGTTCCGTAAATTTTCCGGATATTTACCGGTATCACTGTGTGAAAGGGGCTAATGACTGCATGTTGTAGGGAGCAGATAGCTTTATAAGATAGCTGATGAAAAATCCGATTTAGAGTCTGACAAAAGGATAATTAGAGACAATTAGAGAAGGACAATCAGTTTTAAATCAATTTTATGTTAAATTTGTTTTGGATTAACATAACTTTTTTCGTGTGTGTGTTTTTTTTTTTTTTTTTTTTCATGAGTTCGGCTCTCTTTCAGACTAAACTGCTTTTGTTTTGTTTTTGTTACATTAATATTGGATTAATATCCCTTTACAGCCATATCCTGTAGAGTATTGTTGTCTGAATGGCGGTCGTTTCGTACTAAAATGGTCCTGTGAAAAATTAAAATTAAAAACAAAATGTAAAAAACTCTAAATTGTAGAATTTTTTTCACCCCAAAGGATGTAAAAAAAAAAATGTTTGGGTCTCAGGAGGATATATGGTTGTTTGATCTCAATTTTAACAATGCATAAAGATAAAGGTAACAAAACCAAACAATTAAACTGAAAAAAAAAAAACTGTAAATGTAATTCTACAAAAATGCATATTCTAACTATTTCTAAAGTTAGGATACCCTACCATTTAATAGCTAGTGTTACCTCCGTTGGCTAAAATAACTGCAGTGAGACGTTTCTTGTAGCCATCTACTGTACCAGGCTCGTTTCAGCTCACCCCAGAGCATCTCAATGGGATTAGGATCTGGGCTTTGACTTGATCATTCCATATTTCATTTTTTCCATAATTTATTATTTTTTTTCACATGACTGTACATATTTGAATTGATTATTTGATTTGCCTATGTTAGAAACAGCGAATCTCCTTTAAAACTGTCTGTTTCTTTTAGACAAGGAGATTCGCTATTTCTAACATCGGCAAATCAAACTTTTTTACGAAGATGAGATCATCATATTTGGATGTTTTCTTCAATGTGACTATGAGCCAAATAAATTGGCTATACATACAGGTAACTGTTTTATTTCAGATAATAACTTTTGTTTATTTATTTTTAATATTTATTAATTTATTAATTTTCCTTCAGCTTAGTCTCTAATTTATCTGGGGTCGTCAAAGCGGAATAAATCGTTAACTACCAGCACATGTTTTAAGCAGCAAATGCCCTTATAGTCGCAACCCAGTACTGGGGCACACTCATACACACTAGTTTACACACATACACATTTATAACTTTTTGTTATAAAAGATCATGTGATATTTAAAAAAAAAAAAAAAAGTGTGTAAATGAATAAACCAGCAGGCTGAGCACATTGTAAAACATCTAAAATGTTGTTTTGGTCATTCTAAAACACCTCCTTCCGCAACAAATTTCATTTTTACTTTTGATATTTGGTGCCAGCGACGCAGTGGCGCAGTAGGTAGTGCTGTCGCCTCACAGCAAGAAGGTCTCTGGGTCACAGATTCGAACCTTGACTCAGTTGGTGTTTCTGTGTAGAGTTTGCATGTTCTCCCTGTGTTCGTGTGGGTTTCC